CTTCTTCTTCTTCTTCTTCTTCTTCTTCTTCTTCTTCTTCTTCTTCTTCTTCTTCTTCTTCTTCTTCTTCTTCTTCTTCTTCTTCTTCTTCTTCTATATTTGGCAGAACCTGGGATTGAACTCAGGCCCTTGTGCTTGCCAGGCAAGTGCTTATTCTACTGAGCTATTTCCCTGACCCCCCTTCTTTTGTTTTGAGACAAGGTCCCACTGAGTCACCAAGTTATCTAGGCTGGGCTTGAAATGGTGACTCTCCCGCCTCAGCCTCCCAGAGGTCTGGGACTATAGTGTTCATCACCATCTTATCTTTTAATTTTTTAAAACTGTGATATAATATACAAAATAATAAAAATATCTCCTGATTTTTGTATCATTTCTCTATATCTCCTTGTCTTTTGTCTTAAAGTCTAAGAAAGTTCTTTGAATTTTCAATTTTTATTGTATTTTTTATCTAGTAACTAATACTTTCTAATTTTTTGTTTGTTCCTTTTTAGTACCATGTTATCTTGGTTTATAGAGCTCTCCTTTCTTTGAATATTTTAATTATAATTGCTTTGTTTATCAAATTATTTCATTTTTCCCCTGTTTATTTATCTTTATGTTACTTTCTTATTTCTGGTTCTATTCCTATGCCTGGCAACCCAAAATTTTCTGCTCATATGTAAGAAGGAGCTCCTGAGTATCTAGTATGGCTTCCTTCTGCAGTAATGCAATAACTCTTTAGGTTGACATGGGGTAGGTAGAGAGTTCATGAACAAAAACCAAACTGCACAGGAAATACATAAAAAACCAACAACTGGGATTTCATCTATATTTATTTATGTATTTATTTTTTATGTATTTGGCACAGGGTCTCACTACACAGCTTAGACTCATAATGATCCTCTTGTTTTCAGCCTCCCCAGCACTGGGGCTACAGGCGTGTGCCACTATGCCCCATCTTTGTGGCTGGCTCTGTGCACCTGGGGGGGGCTGGCACGGCTTGTAGTACTGGGCATTGAACTCAGGTCCTTGTGCTTGCCTAAGCAGATGCTTAGACCACTGAGTTATCTCCGTGACCCTGTTTCTAATTTTTTTTATTTTTTTATTCTCTTTAAAAAAAATCATGTGCCTACAACTACTTTTATTTTAGTGGAATGAAGATATTTTTTAAAATTTGCATGTGAATTTACTTGCAACAGGAAATATTTCACAAGTAGAATGTGTTAGATATAGGAATAGGTTTAATGGTATAACTGATTTCTCTGAAGGAGGATTTGCCTGTATATTGGGCTTCTACTGCTGTTTAGGTAGGCATTTCACAAAAACTAAACTCATATTCAGAAGTTTGTACCAAACGCTACCTTTATTGGATGTTGTTTCATGGTATATACTTATATCTGGGCCTTTTTATTCCCAAAGTTTATAAGTGTGTAAGTACACACACACACACACACACACACACACACCAACCAATATAGAATTGATGGCTCCAAAGATTCTATGGTTCTTTTTTTAAAAAAAAGTAAAGCTCTAGCTCAGCATAGTAATGCATAAC